GACTTTCAAAGCCCAAGGAAGATAAGAAATAGAGGAGATTGCAGCAGACAGTGGAAGAGGTCTGAAGGACTCCCTTTCTGATACCTGCTCTGCTATATTAGCAGGGTGGTATTAGATAAGGCCCAGCCTCTCTGGAAAGCAAGAATTGGATTTCAGTGACCTCTCTGCTTTCCAGTTCCAAAATTCTCTCATTTAATGAATGCACCATAATGAGCCTACAAGCAAGCATTTACATCTGTTGATAGATTGGCTTGGCTCTTTATTTCAAATTCTTATCCTAAAGCTAGTGTGAAATTTTAAAAGAGATTTCCTCTGCATTTTGAAATATTGTTGGTCTTTTTGCTGAGAAGGCAATCAACCTTTAAACAATGGTCAAATTATAACAAGTTGGAACCTGTTGATCTGGCCCAATGAATTTGCTGGTTTTTATTCTGTGATACTATTTTAATTTTTGTAAGTGAAATCAGCAAGAGCAATTCTTTAAGGAATGAGTTTTTTTCTAGGATTGTTTTTAAAGGATCGGCCCTCAAAATGTTTGGTTGTACAACAATCCAGAAGAAAACCTCATATTGGTGGTATTCTCTCCCCTGTCTTTAACCCTTTTTCTCCATAGTTATACAACTTTTGAAAATGAGCTCCAGAAATGACAATTTTCATTTACATAGGCACAATGGGGAAAAATAACCTTTGTGTAGGGAAAAAGAAAATAATGAAAGCCTTTCAGTCTGGTTTTCTCTCTGCATATAAGACGACGACTTGAAAATTTTCAAAAATCAAACAACATTCCTTAGAAGTAGGTATGCTCTAACATATACACAACCATCTATAATGGTGGAAATAGTCACGGCTTGCCCTTAAGTTTTTACGCTCCTTGGTTTGTGTGAGAATCTTAACTTTAAAACAAGTGTGTATTTGTTTGAATTTTACAAACTGTAGAAATGCTTATTAAAGCCTCATTATATTAGCATGTGTTAAGGGGAATTTCTTATTTTCTAACATTTTTAATTATGATAAACCATGTAACACAAACTCATGAATTTTGGGGCAGTGGAAATTATTTCCTTTGACTCTTTTTTCTGCATATCATCAATTTGCTTTTTACTCATGTTTCCTCTACTGTCGCTGTAAGCTTACTTGTTGTTTTTTCTTTCCTTTTCTTCATGCTGTCGTTTAGAGCCCTACAGAGAGACAAGTATGGGAGTAAAGCTAAACATTGCATATCAAATGTAATTTTTTTTAGTTCACTTTTATTGCATCACATATAGATGATGTAGTTGTTAAAAACAGTTCATCTCACAATTTTAAAGAACCTATGAATTGACTTATATATGTTACTAGAGATTAGACGCTTTTGTTGTCTGATTCTGTCACATAATCAACGTAGCTCTTAAGTCTCATGTAATGTTTGTGTGAGTTAAATTGTTTTTAAATCAAGCATTTATTTTTGCTGAGTAATTCATAAACTTTTAATTTTTCTTAGTACATTCCATCCTAAAAATGTGTCACATGCAACATACCCACTTTATTTTGCTATGGCTGCTTGCAGCCGGTACCTCATGCATTGACACCAGAAATAACAACCACGTGTTTCAATGCATCAGCCACCAACCATAACCATCAAGCACACAGCAATCACCCATCACATACAGCCCTTTAAAAAGCATTTACTTTGTTTTCTTAACATTGTGGATTTGTCTATAAGATAGAAAATGAAAATAAACTGCTTCACCCTATGTCTGTGATAGCTGCTTATTAATGTGTTTCATGCATTATTTCTGAAAGCTGTGTTACTTGATACCATCAAATATGCATCAGAAATCCATATAAAAATTGAGACACTTCATTTAAACCAGCAAGGAACAAGTTGACTTTTGGTAAACATAACTGCATCACAGATATAGAATGAATGCTCTATTTTCACATTAGCAATGTATTGACAAGTTCAATAGAATTCTCCAATTAATTTTTCTTTAAAGAAATACTCTTACTTACCAGTATTGGTTATATGTGTGTATTTTTCCTTTTGTGGTTGCATTTGAAGTGAAACTATTGTAGATTCTGGGATTTCTGTTCATTCAAGGATATGTGGTCAAATTTCTTTCACTGCAGCTGTTTCTTACCAGAATAAAATGTTTATGCACACAAAATCATCACATTATCAAATGGTAACACTGACATGATGTTTTTAGGAATCAAATTCTTTTGGAGTATTACCTAATGACCCTAAACAATCACTGATGGTATAATAGCCAAAGTGCTTATAGCAGAAAACATTTAGAAAATAAATCAAAATACTTTTGAAAGTTCCTAAATTATTTTGATGTGCCATTTATTTGACTAAGCATTATTTCATGACCCCATCATTCTAACAAATTTAACACGATTCTTTTGTGTGTAGAGATTATTTTTAATCTTACAAAATTATATATCAAATTATTAGAAACTGTTCAAAGTACCACACGTGAATTATGTTACTATTATAGCTGTTTCAAGACAACATGTAATATATTAAGGGTAATGAATTATTTGACTGACTTTGATGTGTATAAATTGAAAGCTATAAATGACTAAACCAAAATTTTGTCCAAGTTATAACCAAATATACTTCAGGCAATGTTTGTATAGAAATTGCAAATTTATAGGTTTTTAAGAAATTCTTTTAAAGATTCATTTGCTATTTTTCCAATTATATACATATATAGATATGCACAAATAGATTTAATACTATTTTTTGTTTCTTTCCAAACATTTCATACTTGCAAATGCTAGCAATTTATACATATTTCACAGTCGATGAATGTTTTTGCGTTTGTGTGTGTTGTATGGCCTATTGGATATAAATGTCATAGTGTCTTGTAATCTTTTTCAGAGGGGCTTCTGAACAATGCCAGGGATACAAGTGTCATGGATACTCTACCACTGAATGGTAACCATGGCAATAGTTACAGCATTGCCAGCAGTGAATACCTGAGCAACTGTGTGCAAATCATAGACCGTGGCTATAACCATAACGAGACCGCCCTAGAGAAAAAGATTCTGAAGGAACTCACTTCCAACTATATCCCTTCGTACCTGAACAACCACGAGCGCTCCAGTGAACAGAACAGGAATCTGATGAACAAGCTGGTGAATAACCTCGGCAGTGGGAGTGAAGATGACGCCATCGTCCTGGATGATGCCACCTCCTTTAACCACGAGGAGAGTCTAGGACTGGAACTCATTCATGAGGAATCGGATGCTCCTTTGCTGCCCCCAAGAGTTTACTCCACAGAGAACCACCAGCCCCACCATTATAGCAGAAGGCGGATCCCTCAAGACCACAGTGAGAGCTTTTTCCCTTTGCTAACCAACGAGCACACAGAAGATCTCCAGTCACCCCACAGGGACTCTCTCTATACCAGCATGCCGGCACTGGCTGGTGTGGCCGCCACAGAGAGTGTTACCACCAGCACCCAGACCGAACCCCCACCGGCCAAATGTGGCGACGCCGAAGATGTTTACTACAAAAGCATGCCAAACCTAGGCTCCAGAAACCACGTCCATCAGCTGCACACTTACTACCAGCTAGGTCGTGGCAGCAGCGATGGGTTTATAGTTCCTCCAAACAAAGATGGGACCCCTCCGGAGGGAAGTTCAAAAGGACCTGCTCATTTGGTCACTAGTCTATAGAAGATGACACAAAAATTTAAACCAACAAAACTGCTAACACCTTGTTGACTGTTCTGAGTTGATATACACAGTGGTAATAATGTGTGTACTCCTAAATCTTTATGCTGTTCTCGAAAGACAAACACAAACTCTTCTTTTTTTTTTTTTTAAATGGGATTTTTAGGTCAGCCCAGGGGAGAAAGATAACTGCTGAAATTCCCCTGTGCCCCATCCTTTTCCCCCTCAGATGGAGACTTCATTATGTTAATGAACGAGATATGAAGAAAATGGCACTCATTGTGGCCTTGTTGAATTATGTTGTGTTTGTTTTAACATCTCTGATGCACTGTTACTATAATTACAAGGACCTGCTTTTTAAAAGGCCAGAACGATTGTTTGAGATTAGTAACAATGCTGCATCTAGATTGGAGTGCTGCACAAACATAAAAGCAAAGCAAAACTGTATCACATAGTGGTTTTTTTGTCACTTGCAACCTGAATTCACTACAGCTGGAATAGCTGCAGAAAACAACAAAATTAATAATGAAATGGAGGGGAATTCTAGAATTATATGCTAAATGCATATTTTATGATTTGCTGTATTAACTGATGATAAAACTAATGGCAGAAAAAAATTTGAACAATTTCTATGTAATGTACAGATACTAGCATTGCACATATAGTCTGCTTTCTGTTCCTCCAGAATTTGAGTCCTGTTAATGTAGTGGGAAAAAAAAAAGTTGTTTTCTTTTTCTTTCGTGCTGGTCTTGCAAGTTTGTCTACCAGTAAGAGAGCAAAGTTAGTTACCTTCCTTTCCTCTTTCTTTTCTTTTCTATTCTTCTCTTTGGTCTCTTTTTTTCAAGTTTTGCCTGGCAAAAAAAATAAATAAATAAATAAGCAAAACTATCACTTTATAAGAATCATTTTCTAGTAATGCAAACAGATTATTTTTTACAAAAAATAAATAAAATTAGACTTCCTTCCCTCACTATATATCTCTATTTAGTCAGAATCTATTTCCAGCAGCATTTTTACAAATTAGAGCAGGACAAAACTTTTACGTTTACAGGGCACACCTGTTATACTGCAAAGCATATTTGGCAAGCAGCTCATCACCAAGACAGTAGCTAAGATTCTAGGAGTCAAGAGGTGTCTATAGAACTATTGGGGCTTCTGCATGTGAAAAACGGTATTCCATAGGTGTTAAAGTGCTCAATGCTCAGTCTGATCCCCACGTGGGCACCTGGACTACCAATTTTTAGAGGAAATTCACTCCCTCATAGTAAGAATTGAAAGGTCAAATTATTTTGAAGTGATTTTTTTTTTTTTAAAAAAAGTCTTTTTATTAACAGGAAAATCTATTTATTTGACAGGATTTTAAGTAATGTAGGAATACAAGAGGTAAATTAGCAGCACATATAATTTTTTTTTTAAATTTATGATCCATTTTGTATGGTCTCAGAGTTGGATGACCTCATTACTAATATTTGTTGTAAAAGTGAAACTTGTTTGCCAACCAATAAACAACTGATTGAGATTTAGAAGATATCGTATTGATGTATGTACTATATGATTAATTGTTCTCATTTTTCTCGCCTTTCTTTCCTTCTGTTTTCAATGTATAAACTTATCTAATCCTCTGTGGCTCAAATGAGCCATGTGAAAGAAATCAGTCTGCCTAGATGAGTAACCTAAGCACAAAATTATGTAGTTTTTGCAGACAAAGTAAACCAGAAAAATTGGATGGGCATGTTTATGTTGGCTGAAATAAGATATATAACTTACTTTTGAGCAGGTTAACATAAATGTCACTATGTGCTTATTTATAAACCAGCTGCTGCAGTCACCATGCTTATTTTAATAGCCAGATTCAATCAGAGATAGAAATAACGAATTTGGGGGGGGTCATATTTTCTCCTCCTCTTTAAGTTCCATTTTGATGTTAGAGACTTAAATTCACTCAAATGTCTAAAAGATGCAGGAATCATGGCAAAGAGAATATCCATTTCATAAAGATAGCGTAAGACATTTTCTGTCACAATTTTTTTTTATCCTATATGTGGCGGAAATCGTAGGGAAAAAAGTCCTTTCAAAGCAGCTTTCTAGATCTCTAATTACTGTGGAGCCTTTGCAGCCATGTCCGAGCATGGAGCCCCTCTTAGGACAAAGCTAAAATGAATTTGCCAAATTATAATTTCTCTTTTTTTTCTTGGGGTTTTCTTTTTCAAAAATCTAAACACCACTCATCTATAAATAAATACCTTAAATCAATATGAGAAGGTATAGAGAGGGTCAGTAATTTATGTATAATTTAAAAATATATGGCCAAAAACAATTGTGCTGGGCCAGAGTCCATCGTAACCTTCCATCATATCACCTCAAAATATTTTTATGTATCACTCCTTTTTAGTCAATTGACATGAGTATTTTTTAAGTCTACAGATTTTCTTTAAATTGGAGGAGAACCACAAGCTTTAACGGTAATTAGGTTTTTCTCACACCTATGACAATTATTAGCACCTGAAAGGCATTTAACCCCCCTGATGCATAGAATACATTTGTCAATAATAGGACCCTTTTTAGACATGTTTAAGGTAACGTCAGAAACACAAATATCGTCTGTGGATTATGAACACTTAGTCAAACAGTAATCTATATGAAAGTGAATGTCAGTAAGAAGCTAGTTTCATAGAAAAATCAGGAAACTACCTCAATTCAGCTTGCTGATTTTCTGATATTGCTACCTCCCTGCCCGTTATCTTTTGTGTTTGATTAGATGGAAATTTGAAGCAGGTAGCTTCCCCAGCATTATGTAGATCAAGTTGAAAAAAGATGACTTTACTACATATACATATACCGGTGCAAAAGAACATTCAGTACTATCAATTACTACTACTAAGCTCTTGCATTGACATGAAAGGGTGAGATTTTTGAACTCTCATACGTCATAATTGGTTTGCTTTCAGAAAGACTTAAAATCCCAAAGATTTTCACAGGGAGAGATTGTTCCACCAAGTTTTACGTAACTATAGTGAAAAAACAATGGATAAAGGACTTAATTATACATACATTTCAATAGAAATTTGTGTATATCTAACATGTATTTAGTCTTATTTACACTAGCAAGGGTTGAATTCCTGAACTTGAATCTTTTTTCTTCACATGCATTTTCACATAGAGCTATTGATGATGAATTAATAATTTTTAAATTTTTCTTGCTCCCACCTTTTGTTGACTCCATTTGTTTCCATACCCTGTGACATGTCTGACCCACTTATCTACATATTTTTGGTGTGTTTATCTGATCTTCCAATAAGAAATAAATTCCCATCGAACAGACACAGTATACGTACATAACACCTTATTTAGCCAGCTGGAAGTAAGAGTAATGCCAATGAAACAAAGCAATTATTACTTCTTAGTAAAGTATTTTTATAACATTTTACACTTGGATTTTTTTCTTTCTCTTTAAAGTCTAGTTCACATGATACTTTATCAGGACACTTGTAAGGGACTTCATGTTTAGTTGATTCTGAAACTGATAGATTGTTGCACAGCCTCTGTTCCTAATTGATAATATTTGTGACCAAATCCATATATTGTGAAGGAGAAATAGGTTGGAACTCCAATTAAATTTTAGGGAATTCCTCACTCTTTCTACTCTATTATAATTGAACATGTTGGCATTGAATAATAAATTATTATGCTAAAATAATCATAATGACAAAAAAGTACTGGCATGAGGACAATTATCTCAAAGTAAAAATTATTGGAAAAATGTATAATCAAAAGCACATACCCTTAACTTCCTGCAAAAAAAAATCTATGACTCTATATTCAAATATAGTTTATTATCTGTATTTTAAAAATCTCCATTATAATCTAAAAATGTTGACATATTAATGAAAGGATCTTTAAGTTTTTAAATGCTCTAATATTAATTTAGTTGGTGTGACAAAACTTTTCATGATAATGGAGATTAGCATCTAAGGGAATTAGTACCATTTATGAAAGATCCACATACTTACTTGTAGGCAATATCTCCAGCTTTTTCCTCCACACATGTCCAGATCCACTGACTGGTTTGCTCAAAGAATGACATTAAAAATCCTAATGACTCGACTTTCTGCATTACTGTAAGAGACCAAAAGAAAGAAGAAAAAGAGATTCTGGATTATCTAAACATCAACTCTGAACTAATCTATAACCATTCCCTATTAATGAAAGAATAATTAGTTTTTAGAAGTTATCCATCAGTATTGTACCAAAGTGCTACTGATTAGAATATTTTTGGAAAAAAAATAAGTGCCGCAGGACTACAATGCATGTCAATTCAAATTTAGAGAGTTAAAAAAGAACCTAAATCCTAATTTGGTTTTGAGCAAATCTGAAGATGTTGGCACAAATGTCCTTTCTTCTCTAACAAAAATATTGAGATAAAATACTAATACATGAGCTTTCCAGTGTATTGTAGATCAAGATACTAAGATTTAATTAGTTCATTTGAAGTAATTCATAATTATAACTTACCACATATTCACTATGCATTTCTAAGTAATACCTTGAAATCTTATGTTAGATTTCTGCACATCAATAAATTAGGAAGATGGAGGCACAAAAGCAAAGTAGCAACATTGCAAAATAGCTTATGCAAGTATTTTTGTGTGAATGAATTCTACACAAGCTTCTCTGAGCTCATAAAATTTATTCAATGTATCCCCAAAGAAATTCAGTTTTGTAATCAGCAAATACGTCCTTCTTAAACCATCTGAAAAATATTATTAAACATCTAAATTTTCATTTGTAGACTAGTAGAAATTAAAAAGTGTTGGTGGCTGCTTCTTTCCTGATTAGGCCACAGGAGGAAACGTTCCTATTTACTAATTAACCCTGCTTATTTCCTCTTTGGTTTAAAAGGGAAATCAATTTTTAACTTTCACCTGTACATATACTTACACCCTCTGATTAATTTTATTTACAGCTTGCAGAGGAAACAGCTTGTTTACAATATTACAAACCTG